TCTCACTATGTGACTGTGAGGACGCCTGGCGCTTTACAGCTGCTACTCGGCGTCTCGATTGTCTCTTCGAGACCTTACTCCCCTTAGGGGTCGGGACAATATTGTCCCCATGGTTACTACAAACCATAGTACGCTCTACACGAGAGCTTTTGTCTTGACCGACATTAGGTGTGGTGCCCTCACGGCCGTCCACACTATACGGCGTATCGCCAACAATATCATTATTGACATTAGGTGTGGTGCCATCACGGCCGCCCACACTATATGGCGAATCGCCAACAACGCCATTACCGACGTTAAGCGTGGTGCCCTCACGGCCGCCCACAATAACTGGCGTATCGCCAAAACTGTCATTACCGACATTCAGTGCGGTGCTCTCACGGCCGACCGCACTCGGTGTAGTTTCACGTGCCACCATACACACATCAAAGGAATCACATCCTTGATCACTCGTCCCTAGGCCAACCATGCTTTCAGCATGCAGTGACTCGTTATCACAACGAGTACCACTCAACGGAGTACGTGCCGTTTCACTAGACGAGCTAAGCTCGAAACTTATGTTTGTAACATTGGAGTTAGATAACTCGGACATTCCAATATCCAGCACATTGACATCTTCTGTCAAAGGCTCGCGCCAATAGCGCTTCTGCTGCCTAGCAAAGGTGGGTTCATGACTCTCCAAAGCTTCGCTAGGAACATTGCGCGTAGCGCCTAAGGTCTTAGACCTCCAATCAATCCATGGCTCATGGCGCTCAAGCCAAGCCATACCTAGGATGAGATCATATCTCGAGTCCAAATCTAGGACAAGACGGCGCTCATACTGTCAAAGTCTAAAAACTTTATAACTAAGTTCAATGGAACTTTAGGCACCGTTACGCGACTTCCAGTCGCTAAACGAACCGTGACAGAATCACCCTCATGCGCTGTAAGCGCCTCAGCATAACGCTGACTTCCCTCAAGGGAACGGCGTCGAGCATAATTGCAAGACGCTCCAGAATCGATCAATATCGACCAAGGCTTCTCGAAGCCCTTAATTTTCGCCTCGGCGACCAACAAGCCAGACTTGTATCCACGCACCATACCCGTAGGTATGGTACTCTTTGGGGCTAAGCCCTGCATCCCTTTACCTTCTAAAGGTGTAAAAGAACATAGTTCTTCCCCAGTAGGGCGCCCCGCGCCTACTGGGTGTCGGCATTTCCCCGTGCCATGCCAGACTTCTGACTCGGGCTCGAGTGTTGGCTCGTAGTCTGGCGTTGCTTACGCAAAGGGCAACCAGGCCGCAAGTGTTTAGTGCTTCCGCACGTAAAGCATCGTCTTACAACGTGTTTCTGCTCAGCAGCTTGAAGCTCAGTTTCACCTCCATCTTCAGCATAGCTGAGATCCATCGGTTCCGGCCTATTATAGGCAGTGGTACCCGAATAGTTTGCTCTCACAGAGCGAGGATTGTATCCGTTCCAACCAAGTCTGTCCGACTTGAAGTTATGCTCAGCATTAAGAGCAATTCTCACAGCCTCTTCAAACGTAGAGGGGTGAACCCGAAAAACTTCGGTTCTGGCAATGCCAGTACGTAGACCTTCCATGAAGATAGTCACATGGACTGCTTCAGGCAAAGGGTCAGACTGCATTGCAGCCATGAGCGTTCGCAGCTCTTGGACATAGTCCGATAATTCATTCTTACCCTGGCGGGTAGAAAGAAAGCGTGAGCGCACGCGGTAAGCCTGGTTAGGTAGAGAAAACACCTGTACCAATTGTAACTTGAGCGACTCCCATGTGGGAAACGCTATGTCCACCGACGTGCTACACGTCAAGGCCCATTCTCTAGCTCTACCATCGAGCTTCGAGATAGCCAGCGAGACCTGTTGATGGTCAAGCGTGATCAGGCCTGATCTCATGGCCATCTCGATCTCACGGATCCAGAGGATGAGGTTCTCGCCCTCCTTACCGGAGTAGTTTTTTACTTCCACTCTAAGTGGACGAGGCTTAGCCTCTTCGTCTGGTACAGACACGTAGCGTGTAGGCATAGCCGACGCTATTTGGTCTTGGACCTGCCCTAAAAGGGTCGCTTCATACTGCATGAAGCTTTCAACACGTGCATTAAGCACTTTAGGACCTTGTGAAACAAGGAACTCCACGTACTCTGGACCCAAAGATGCGGTCAGCTTATCAAGCGCGACCTTTTGGGCCTCAGATAGGGGAGTGATGTTTTCCATCCTCACAGAGGATCAGTCTTAAAGACTCAGGCGTAGATTGACTACTAGTGCTACCAAGTGTAGCGGAGCTACACAGCTCCTTAAGTCAGAGGAAGACTTAACGCTCTACGAGCAACTTAGTTCTAAAGAACTAACGACTTTACGAGTCAACAAGCTTTCTAGCTTCAGATCCCTGTTCCAGGGGACCTAACGATTCAGTGAATCGACAGCACTCAGTGCTCAAGAGTAGCTACCTCAAGGAGGTGTCGCTAGCTCTTAGTGATCAGAGATCAACGATCAAGACGGCTCGCAAGCCACGTGTCTTTCAGATCAAAATGGGAACTGATTTTATTTTTGTTAAAGCCTATAGAATATCTTAATCCTACTCAAAGATCTTTCGTATCTAATGGCTGACACTCGTCAGCCCCTACAAACCGATAAGGTATTCTATATCACCTTTACAGAAGCGAACCCTCAGGTGTGTAACACCTCTGGTACAAAGTACCATGATTTCGTGCAACCCTGTTACAAAGGCTCTCATCATTCGATGGGCGGGCCGACGCATGTGCGTCAACCCGAAAACTTGAAGATTGATATCTGAAGGTTCAAGGGAACCGATGAAGGTTCCCTTTTAAGACGGTTTATCGAGTTAGACGACGCCATGAGGGCCCGTCACATCGAGGGTGACAATATGCAAGTCAACTTCTCCCTGTCAAATTTGACGGGACGAGCAAAGACTTGGGCCTTGGGATCAAGCAAAACGATTTAAACGTGTTTGAGTCGTTGGATATCTTAAAGTCTCGGCTTAAAGAGACATTTGAGCTGCCGAGAGCCGAGTTCGGAGCACGCTCTGCGCTCCTGAGGCTCAAGCAAGGTAAGCGTGATGTGAATGCTCATGCACAGCACCTCCGCTACCTTGCGAGTAGCGTTACGGAAAACCCTATTGGTGAGCAAACGCTCATCAACGTGTTCATCTACGGTCTTGTGGATGGGTCAGTGAAGACATGCATGTTCCGAGAGGACTTCCGTACGATGGAAAAGGCAATAGCGTATGCGGAACAAGAAGACTTCAGCCTGAGACAGTCTCAGGCTAACTCGTCAAACTATCGTCCGACGAGACGGCAGGAAAAAGGAGGTCCCGAACCTATGGACCTCTGTTACATCAAGAGCGAGAACTCTCGCTCTCAGAGTCACAAGCGAACGGCAAGATGCCATCGCTGTCAGAAGATCACGCGCTACCCTAATGAGTGTGGTTTCCTAAGCACCGCATCACTTCCAAAGACAGGACGTGATGACCGCCGTTGGCCAAAGAAAGGTCCAAGGCGCGGTTCCGACCATGTCGCTACATCGCGACAGCAAGTCGGACCGCCAGAAAACGGTTAGAGTCAGCAGTAGGGTAGGAGCACCCTGCTGATCCAGCAACGTCAAGAGAATTTGCAGAGCTCTGGGCGAAGATTGCTCCCAACACAAAGTCGCCGTGTGTCGCTACCCTAGTAATGAGGTGTCCCTCATGACTTTGAAGATCGAAGTGACAGGTGGAATGTCACTTCGCGCCCTAGTTGACTGTGGGTTGTCGGACAGTTTGACTCGACGCCAGTCACTAGAGGATAGCAGACTCAACTATGGTGAGCGATAGTTTCCTTTAACCAGTTGACGGTGTGACTTGCAACAGTCGCATCCGTAACAAAAATAAACATGTAGAGGGAATCCACTACACGCTAAAAGGAATGCGGTACGTTAACGACTTCATCGTACTGGATCTGGATGACAAATTTGATGTCATCCTCGGTCCGCCATGGCTTAAAAAATACCAGCCTTGGGTTAGCTGGCAGCATCGATCCGTGAAGTTGCCTGCCGTTTGTTTATCGGGTGGCCATCTGACGAACGTCTTAGATCGTCCACAAGCGTGTTGGTGTACTACGAGTGAGTGCGATGGTCTCACTTGTGGTACGGTCGTTAGTACGATTGCACAAGATCACAGTATAGAAGGCCACTGCACTGTGGAACCAGCTTCCGGCACCTGTCTAGACACACAGGCTGCGCCGAAGGTTCACCACCCAAAGAGATCGAGTGGACTGGAACGCGGATGCACAGCAAGAAGGGTGCATCCGAAAAGAGAGATTAGTGTTGTTCAGAATGAACAACACGCTGAAGCGAGATCGACTAACAAAGAGTCGATCGTAAAGCAAACACGGTCGACTGAAAGAGAGTTAATCAAAGAGAACGTGACCGTGGTAGTGCACCCATAGTATGAATACGTATTGGAAAAAGTTTCCAGCGTTCCTGAGTGATGAATTCAGAGAGAGTTATGATGAGGGTGTGGATCCACAACCACCTGCGGATGTGTTTTCCCAGGAAATCACCGAGACAGTGAATATCTTGGTGAATGACGGATCGAGTTTAGACGCTTATACACTTGATCTGGTTGCACCCCCGAAGTAAGCTTCGGACGTAGTCAAGTTGCCAATGCTAGAATCTAAAATTTTCTTGCGAGATGTGCGTAGTGGCAAGATTAAGCGGGTATGCGTACTCGTCACAGAAGAAGAGTACGTCGCCGATAGTCGGCACAAGTGTTTACTGAGAACGAAATGGTTCTTAGTATCTCATCGATGGACGAGAGTGTCCTCGATGAGAAGGCTCGGATTGAGCGATGCATGTCTCAATCTTGGGAATCTTTGAAGACAAATCCTTTTTATAAGCACTTGGTTAAATTCATGGCTGCTTTCCCTCAATCCGTGCCATGCGAGTTGCTTAAGGACAAAGGCACTCTGCATGAGATCGATATGAAACCCGGTATAAAGATACTGTGTCATGAAGCAGTGGCCACTGCCTCGTGAACAGGCCACAGCGCTCGACAAATTCTTTGCCGATCGTTTAGCAGCGGGTCATGTGAGGGAATCAAATTCCCTACAAAGCTCTCCGACCTCCTGTGTGCGAAATGCCACAGGAGGATGGCGGATAGTGCGCGCGTTCAACAAATTGAACGCTGCAACGGCACCAGCTCAAACGCCGATACCGAGGAAGGACGTCTTCACTGATGGTATGGCAAAGAGTACCATCTTTTCGTCCATGGATCTGATGGATGGACTCTATCAGATCCTTGTGCGTGAACGGGATATCCCTTTTACATCAGTGAGCACCCCCAGTGGTACGCTCTGGGAGTGGCTAGTGATGCCACAGGGGCTAAGTAACGCCCCTGCAGCGTTTAACAGATGTGTTACGAATCTGTTGCGATCGGTGCGCAACTTCGCACCGAGTTGCTTCGACGATGTCTTCGTCCATAGCCGGGCTCATGATGGGAAGAAGGACGTGGAGGTTCTAGAATCCACGTCCGGAAGGTTCTTACTCTAATGCGAGAGCATAAGTTATTCGCGAGCCTCAAGAAGTGTATATTCGCAGCGAACAAAATTCCACTTCTTGGCTGCATCGTGGGTAAATACGGTGTACGCCCTGATCCGAAAAAGATTAAGGCGATTAGCGACTGGCCTGTGCCAGTCGACGTCAAGGGACTTCGAAAGCTCCTTGACTTGGCAGCGTATTTGCACAAATACTTACGCAACTATGCCGAGATGACTGTACATCTCCCTCGTCTATAAAAGAAAAACGAGAGGTGTTCATGGAGCGCTAAGTGTCAGCGCTCTTTTGAAAGCATAAAAAAACGCTTGGTGCAATCGCCTGTGTTGGCGATTGCCGACCAAGACAGACCGTTTTATGTGGTCTGTGACGCCAGCGATTTTGCAATAGGCTGTGCGTTGATGCAGTACGAATCAGACGGCGTTAAGCGCGTCGTCTGTTATCAATCGCTTCAGCTGCAAGCAGCTGAGCAAAATTATCCGGTTCATGACAAGGAACTACTTGCCATATTATATGCACTGGCCAAGTTTCGGGTATATCTCTTTAAAGATAGGCCCTTCATCGTTTATACCGACCATGCGTCGTTACGCACAGCCGTAAACATTCCAAATCTCTCGCAACGAATGGCGAGGATGCTGTCATTCTTCGCGGAGTACAACTTCTCCGTCGAGCATAAAACAGGACGACTCAATGTCGTCGCTGATGCTCTTTCGCGTCGGCCCGATTTTGAGCCGACTACTCAACCTAACAGAAGGGGTGATCCCATTGTAGCGACACTCACAGTGAGTGTTCCGTCGTCAAATCTATCTGACGAAGTGTGAAAAGCATACACAGAAAATGAGTCTCTTCTGCGGTTGGTGGATTTTGTACCCAATCCATGCATTCAAGCTTTGAAAAGCTTGTCGTCTCAATACCGATCTTCAACCGAACGATATTCGGTCGTGGTAGACTGCTGTACTATGCAGCAGTCAGTGGCGACACACCTTACGTCGTCGTTCCTGCTCATCATGACTTTCGATTGTGCATCATGTATGACTGTCACGTTGCCCAACAAAAGGGCATCGCGGTAGAGAAAAGACTTACCTCACGGTAAGTCGTGACTTCTACTGGCCTCGCCAGTACGAGTTTGTGTGCAATTGCATTCGCACTTGCAAATTATGCCAACAGGTGAAGCCTATTCCTTCATCCCGTGCACCCTTGTAGCATCTTACGAATCCGGCAGAGTTCTGGCAGTCCGTGTTGATGGATTTCGTCTTCGGGTTTCCCAAAGACGCCCACAAGGATACTGGTATTCGTGCGCTTGTTAATCGATTCAGCGAGACGGTACATCCTGTTGTTGTACCAGAGTCATTAACAGCCCAGGGATGTACTGGTGTCTTCATCAATACTATATTCCGCCTTCACGGGTTACCCCATGAACTCGTGTATATTAAAGACCCCGCTTCACAGTGGAGTTCTGGCAATCCGTGTTCCGTTCACTTAGAACACGTTTGACGATGTCGACTTCTGACATCCAGAATCAGATTGGCAGACGGAACACGTCAACTGCTTCCTCGAAGAGATACTTCGAGGGTACGTCCACTCGTTTGCGAGCTAGGGTGAGCTCTTGCCGATGGATAAATTCACCATCAACAAATCTGTGCATGCACCGACAACGCATACACCGTTCTTCGTGAATGGCCTACGACATCCACGTTTACCCGCCTTCTTAGTGTGTGACTCTAGTATAAGGGGGGGGGGGTGGACTCGCTCGAACAAAAACCGATCTGGTTCTTGCTCATCACCCGTCGACAATGGTGTCGACGTATATTATGCCGATGTCGATGCAATCAATATCGATTATAATGATGATAACGAAGATGCTAATACGTTCAGCATCGCCGATGAATGCCACAGTGAGGACGATGGCGCCCTCACTGCTGAAGACAACGTTCTTTTAGCAGTTCACACGAAGCGCACTGCTGTTGACAAGGATGAATTTGCAGAGGAATTTCTGCTGACTCGTGAATAGGTTGTCCACTTCGTTCAAGACTCTATTGCAGACGCAATGACAAGCAGAACAGAAACTAAGACAAACATGGAAGAGCCAATGTTCTTTCATTTGGTAAAGGAGACTTAGTTTTATTGTCTGCAGTAAATCTACCGAATACGCAGTGACAACGTGGACAGAAGTAAATTACTGCCCACGTACATCGGTCCATTTCGTGTGTTGCGCCGAATGGGCAACGCACACACGATCGAACTGCCTCGTAGGATGCATACGCGTCCTACGTTTTACGTTGGACGTCTCCGCCCCTACTATCAGTACGAGCCCGTTTCGATATGCGAAGAACACATCCGCGGTCGAGAGCCGAGACTACCTTTAATTTCTCCCGTTTCACCGATCCAGTCTGGTCGACGAGCGAAGCGACCTGCTCACGCAGTTGAGCGATGTCCTGACGAGCTGCAGTCAGTTCGTCACGAAGGTAGCGAATAGAACGTTTGTACTCAAGTTGCGCGAACGCAAACGCGGCAGTATCGTTTGAACGATCGTGCGCTAGGGAATTGCAATATTCCTTTTTAAGATCCTTAATCTCATTACTCCGAGTCCGTTCGGGAGCCAGATCATCGTGTAACTGTTCCGTTACACGGTTCAGTTCCTGGACATCAAGCCGATCCGACCCTCGATCCGGATCAAGTGTTCTCGCCACCGCCACATCCTTTGATGGATTCTGGCGGTGGTCAACGCTTTCTGGTCGAGCGTATCTAAGACCACAGCGACATGAAGGGCATCCAAAAGAGTTACCTCGTCCGCTGGCGTGGCTATACACCGGCCTGGGACAGCTGGGTGCCTAGCGCCCAGCTCATTGTTTATGTCCTGGTCTCGTCGAGCAGCATGACGAGACCAACCCGCTGCGTACGAAGAAGACCGTCGGAAAACGACCTCCCCGAGCGTGAGTACAGGGATTGCAAAGTGTCAATCCCTTTGGCCATCTCAGGAGAGATGCGCGCCATCGAGTAGGAAACATTGGGGAATTAAACCTCCCTAGGGGTACGATTCGAGTTTTCCAGGCAACCTGGCCACGATCCACCCACAAGAGATAGGGTAACCCTGCCTCTCTTGAGAGTCGGTGCAACTTGTATCGTCCTACCGACTGAGTTACGTTTTTCAAACTTGGTGCAAGCCGCGTCAATTTTAACGAGCCAGGCCTTACGGCCAATACACTCGATGTTATGAATGAAGGCATTTCATCCTTGCACCAAAGCCTAACCGTCTCGACCACGGTTGTTATTGTACAAGCGATGCTTGAAGAACACATCGGTGAAGAACTCTTCATCAGCACGGATAGTTTCCATGCTGGAATTAGGAGGACAGATCCTCCTACAGTCGAACAACGGGATTATATCCCGTTCGGTGGTCATTCCGGCCACTCGATCTAACTCTTGGAATATTGCATTCAAGGAGACTTCACTTAAGGACCGTGGCGCAGGATATTGCGGTCCCTGGCCTCTTGAGTGGTGTCAGCATGAGCACTGAAAGCATTTACAGCTCGATCCCTCGAGTAACTTCGCTCGTGGTGACGCATAGGTGCATCAACACCATCCCCACGCGTCGTATCGCTGGACGGACTCGCGTGAGGCGAGCATTCGTCGGAACAAGCGCTCGATCCGAAAAACTAGAGCATGATGCCGCCACGTTGACCAGATCAAGTCAACCTGGATCTTGCAGTGTCCGCCCCGGGTGATCCGGAGGCGTATGGTGTCGCCTTCTAGTCGGATACATTATCCGACTCTCTAGAATAGATGAGCTCGATTCCAGGCTCATATTCATCGCGAATCGCAGAACTCGCCGCAGACGCAGCGAATGTATCGGTCGCACATGGTGACTTACCACGTGGACTGTTCGCAACAGGCACTGTCTATTGCTGAATCACAACAGCAGGCTAAGGAATCCTGCTGCTGAAGCAAGAGAAATCTCTCATTGGCTGCAAACATGCGTGAGACAAATTTTCTTGCTGCTTCGGCAGCACATCGCATGGACTTTGACACCAAGCGATGAATTGGCAGATGATTTATAATTTGACCAACAAGTGCTCCTCTTCCCAGAGTGATCCAACGGCGGTCACCCTGTCCCTTTCAGTAAAAAATAATCAAGGGGTAATTGATGGTTAAGAGGGGGTGATGTAACGGGTAGCCCGCTACGTGATATTGACACCAAACGGTGTCAATAGGGATGTCGTCTAGCGTGACAATTCCCTACCAATATTACCCGAGATGGATAATATTATAGGAAGTTAAAGGATAATATGCATGCGCTGCTCAAAGATTTGTTGATACCGACTTATCAACCAAGGTTACCTCCACTCGCTGCTGGACGCGCGTAATGAGTGGTGAGCAGGTTGTCGTCATACGACGACGTAGTTGAATGTAGTTAGATAAAGACTGTAGTTATATTGATAGTTTGACTATATTCAACACAGTTCATTGTTTACCCTTTACTCTAACTAACTGTTTGAGTAGATTTGCTTCCTCTGCGTGTACTATTGTACGTGAAGTTTCGCGGCACCCCAAACAAAGGGTGCCCCGTTACATCGAACCATATTTATAATCGTTCGGTGCATGCGCTCCGCCTTGCCATTGCCTTGCCTGGTTTCCAGCCTCCATTATTTGCCGTGCAACTCTTGATTCACAACAAAATGTATGTGCTTGTATTCTCCGCCACCATCTGTACGGAGAGTACGCACACGGCAATCATAGCGTTTTAAAACGGAGTAACAATTGCACATTTTTGTAGCTTAGTCCCTCGTTTTAGAGAAACATACACAAGTATCACTGGTCTTCTGGTTAACAGAATTGACCATATACAGGTTGTCTCTGATATGGGGTGATGTAGTTGGACCCTTGAGGTCCTGCAGATCACCGAACGCTATTCGCCAGTGCACTCATACTTTTGTCCTTTGTTGGCTGGGAGACCCGTGTCTGCTTTCATTGTGCACAGTTTGAATAATGCACTGCTT